GAATCTTAAAGTCGTGCTGCTGCTATACATAGTTCAACCTATCAGTTTTTCTTCTGCCACAAGTTTCTGCATAGTAGCTGTTCTTAACCTGCCACAGCTGCTGCCTGCCCCCTCCTGCTCCTCCACAGCCTGGGGCCCCTGCCTCTCCCATCTTTCTCTCATTTCCCTTCCTCCATTCCGCCCCACTTATGCACCACCCCCCACTCCCACTGACCTTTGCATTAACACCAACAGGTTCCATCTGCATTGCAACCTGGAGCATGGAGCCTGGCCCTGTAGCAGGGAAATTAGCTCTGTGCTGCTACTGGGGGACCAGAGATGTGGGAGATGTGCTTCATGCTCCAGGCTGCAGCAGGGATGGAGCCTGCTGGTATCAGAGCAAAGATAAATTGGGGGAGGCGGGGGAAGAGTCAGGTGTGGGGTAGAAGCATGGGTGCCTGCCCCCCACCACCTGCCCCCTTATTGTCTCCCCCACACTCTGCTGCCGTACTGCATGCCCTCTCACTACATTCTTCACTGCCTGTCCCCCAATGGCCTGCCTCATTGCCTGTCCCTCCACCACCTGCACGTAGTGTGTGTGGGGGCATTAATTTAAGATGATCCTCCACTAATTCGATTCTATACATGGAAAATTATAACAGTTATACATTTTTCATGTATAGAATCTAATTATGGGGGGTATCTTAAATTCAGGGTTATCTTGGATTTGGGTAAATACAGTAATTTATAAATTCACTTGATGAAATTAAATTTTTAAAAATGTTTTGTGGCTAATTTCTGAAATTCTATGAATAGGATGCAGTGAAAAAAATTATATGGCCACATTCCTGTGTTAGTGCCAGAATTTTATGAGTTTTATTAATACCAAGAGGAGCTCATATAAAAGCATGTTATAGAATATTCTTCAGAGTTCCATGTAGCATTAATGTCAGTGTCACCATGTCCAGTACTTATTGAAAGGTATTGCCTTGGCCTACTTGTTCTATGATTAACCATTGTGTTTGAAAGAGAGAACCAACACACATTCATTTCTACCAATAGCACCGATAATACGCTATATATTTCAAAAGGAATTTAGAATAAGCTAGAGCAGGAGTTGGCAGTCCCTGGCACATGTTCAGTGTGTGGCACGCAGAGGCATTTTGCTGGGTGCCCATGCCTCAGGGCTGCTTGCTGAAGGTGGCGGGGAGGCTTCAAGCAGCTGCATTGGGATCTGCAGAGCCCTGACCCAGCTCATTGTCGGTGACAGGTACATGCATGCCATGGGGCAGACAGTGGGGAAGGGGCGTAGGCTGTGATGCCACAACAGGGTTTGGGCCTTCTGTGGCTCCCTCACCATCTGCCCCTGGCATGCCAACATCTAAGTAGAAGCTGTGGGTGTTTATAGCACTCTGCCCCAAAATGTTGCTGGCCCCTGAGCTAGAGAGAGACAGAAAAATGGAGGAGGGGGGGCAATGTAGGTAATGTTATCATGTAAACTAGAATCCAGTGTATTAATACCACATTACTTTAGGGAGAAAAATGTGTGTAAGCAGAGAAGCTGGAGGTAAATGTTCCCAAAAGAGAACCTACCACTATAACAGTATCCAGACTAACATAATATGTAGGTAGCCTAAATAATGTATTGATTTTAATGGAAAACATATGACAGCATGTGTCTGACAGCATATACATGCTATTTTGGAAAGTTTTTCAAAGAAGGTAAACATACTAAAATGAAATACCTATTTTTCCTTATGAGGGTCTTCACAGTTTGCTTATTGTGAGATTAATCACTTTTATTTTGGCTAAGCAGCTGATTAGACAATTGCTTGGCTGTTAAGAGATTTTCTGTCATTTTGTCTGTATGAAATTCATTTCTGTTTCCCTACAGCAAAGTTTTCTTTTATTCTCCTTGGAAGTTTAAAAATATTGTCAAGGACTCTGATATTGTCTCCTTTACATATTGATTATTTCACCTGTGTTTATTTTTCTTTACTAGATCCTGGATTTGAGCATTTTAAGGTAGCAGAAAAATCCCATGGAAATTGGATCAGGCTTTACCTAGAAGGAAATAATTCAGAAGTACTCTTAAACCTTGGCAAAAAGGTCCTTAAACAATACTTAGAGGCTCTGAAGATACTGAGTTCTTCACTCAGCAGACAAGTGGCACAATATGATATGTATTCAATGATGGTAGGGGCTACAATAATTCTGGAGGTATGAATCCATGGTTTTCTATGAAAAGGCAAGAACAGAAAGGTTAAGTTGTTGTGTTTTGTTTACTTAATATGGGCTTGGTACTCAGTAATACTGCAGACTGGTATTTTTTGAGAAAGTAAGTATTGACTTATTTTCTCCTTGAAAGAGAGAATATGAATATTTTTAACATCAGAATTATTTTGTGCACTAAATTTAAGGAAGTTTTAGCAAAATCTGTTAGTTTATTCTCTGTAACTTCAATATTTACAGGGCACATGCAGATGTGCTACAACTATTCCTTCATCTATTAGTTTTATATTACTCGTTGAAGAGAGTTGCTCTATTTAAACATGCACATTGACAGATATGTCTGTACTGGTTCCTGATGGTGATAAGTTCATATCTCATTATATCAATGCACTAAAACCTTCAAGACAAATTATTAGATTTAGGAACATTGTTTTGTGTTTAAAGGCCTAAGTCCCTCTAAATCCTGTCCCTTCTCCCATTTCTGCTCACTTCAGGGACGCATATTACAATTATAGTTAAAGGCAATGGATATAAAGATGTGTCCAAGGAATTCTGAAGCAGGAGATTAATTATTATCTAGTCTCAAAGAAGAAAGGAGGTTGGTGTCCTGCCTAGGATCACCTGTGATTCATTGTTCTTTAATGCCACGGTCTCTCCTGCTTTCTACCTTTGGCATAGTGAGTGCTGAAATATTTGGCCTCACTGAAGTCTTTGCAAATGATATATAGGTTGGGTGAAATGTTGTAGCATGTTATTGTATGGTATTTTATGCTTATGGGGTGTTTACACTCCAAAAGGGGGAATGCATGCTATCAACATGTTTTCAAAAAAACATTTATTGGAAGGAAGTAATTATTCTGTTTTGGTGTTTGGGAGGCTAATAGTAATTGGTCTTCATTAGTGAAGCCAGGCTGCTGAGCTGCCCACCAGTGAGGGCTTAAAATGTGCCCCCCTCAGCTTCACATATGTGCCACCAGGCTCTCACCAAGCTGCCACTGCCCCTATCATTCTGACTGTATCAGAGGTCATGACCCCATGATGCAGCCTTGCTGTCTGACCCAGCCCCAGGGGGTGGGGATAAAATGGCACAGCACAGCACAGCCTGTGGTGCTTGCAACCTGGCAGCCTCAAGTGGCTTTGTGGCATGCTGCCATAGGAGAACCTAGAGGGAGCAGAAGGTGAAGTGGGGTGCTGTGCTTCATGAGAGCACACATTTGGTGCAACATACATGTGGTGCAACATGGGAGTACGCATGTGATGCCTGCTCCCATGCACGCGGTGCAACAGGATAGGGGAGCTCCTACCAGCACGTGTGCACAGTGCAGCAGAGTTGGGGAATGCCCAGCTGTACACAGTGCAGTGGGGTGAAGGAGCACCTGCTTGTCACATGTGGTACATCAGAATAGGGAAGCACCCCTGTGCAATGCGACAGGATGAGGAAGCACCTGCCTGCCTGTGCCCTTGGTGCAACAGTGTAGGGGAGTGCCCAACCATCTGTCCATATTATGCAGTTTGGGGCCTGTGGCACCCTCTAGTGGAGCCCCTGCTGGTGTAGCCCGTGAGGTGTGTGGTCCATGGCTGCTTAGAAGTTGTACATCACTCAATCAAGCAGATGCCTCCTAAACATAATGGATGCATCCACATGAGCTTGCACTTGCTCTTTGCGGCACCTCAAAGCCTTTGAAGCGCCACAAAATGCATCCTATGCATATGATTTGGTTGTTTGCACTGCATTTTTGCAGCATGAAGCTAAATTTAGATACCAGGAAATACCAGCAGCAAAAGAAACTCATGGAGAAGAGAAGTAGGGTAGTGCGCATGGCAGCAGCATGTGCTGCTCAAAACTGGAGCCTGGCCAACTGGAGCCACACTCGTTTCCAGACAGGCTGCATGTGGCAAGATCACAGCTGCTGCAGCTCCAGGAGGCCCCCAGGATTATAGGTAAGGTTGTTGGTGCCCAGGTGCTAGCCCTAGCCTTCCCTACACCACCCAGGGCAATTTGTCCTGTGCCAGAGTGTGCATGCAAGGGCATTCCTCGTGGAGAAGTAGCAGTGGCACAAATATATACCAATTCTATTTGCCCTTGGGGTAACGAATGTGCATGCTTGCCTGGACATACCCCATATATTTCCTTTATAGCAGAACATGCAGTCCTTGGAGCTGCTTCTAGGAAGGACTGCTCAGGGAGGGGACTAGGAAGGACTAATCAGACAAGGGATTGTCAGTGTTTGTTTGTAACCTGACATATACTTATTCTTGGAATAGGGGTAAAATACTGCATCTGTTGTACAAAAAAGGTAGGATTTACAGAGATATGTTAGTGTCTTTATGTCTAACTGGGAATTATAAGCATACTAACCAATTGCCTGTCAAGAACGATGAGGGGTGGGCAGGGGCGGAGCGCTGCCACCCCCGTGCCTTGCTTCCCTGGTTCCCATCGTCATAGCAGTGCTCCACACTTTGGTTGTTTCACCAACCAATCAGAGTGCTCCAAGAGTGTGACTGACTGACAGACAGGCAGACAGACTAAGCCCTCTATTATATAAGAATTCTAATATTATAAAAGCTTTAGTCTGTCTATCCGTTCATAATGCTTTATTTGCTCTTTGATTGGCTGACTGAAACAACCAGTGAGAGTGCTCCAAGAGTGTTCAGACAGGTGACAATGTGGCGGAGTGCTGTTATGATGGCAGGGACACAGGGGACGG